CTCTGGCTCTCTACTAACAGCGAGTAAGTGCAGCGAGCCGACTGCACTTGGAAAGTCGATTGAATTTCGGAAACGTGGTCGCAGCTACGCTCGAATTATTATCCTCCAGCCGCCATTGAGGAACAATAAATGATTATTGTCGAGACTATTACCGCACCCGGCGCTGCTGGCCGGTTCAGCAGCTATTGGAAGGTCGCTGGTCAGTTTCTCTTGTGCTGGTAGGGGTACTATAGCCACGTGTGTATATGTGGCTCCCATTATTTCTCGTATCTCGCGAGTCCATGCATGCTCACACCTCTCCCGACAGGAGGGTGGCTTTTCCACCCCTCCAACTGACCACCCTTAAATACCGCACCAAGTCCAGCCAAACAAACTGCATTCACTTAATTCGCGACAGGCCACCACTTTAGGAAGATAGAGTGATTTTACTTCTATTTTACCAGCCGTATTTGCACTGGGAGCTTCAGCAAGAAGAGCTTTAATGTTCCTGGGAAATTAAGTGTCTAGATCCGTATGAAGAAGTGGAACAAAAATTCCATAGGCGATGCCACATCTAAAGTCTAAATGGAGAGGAGATAAGATACGCCTACCGGTAAGAAAGAAAAAAGAAAAGAAAAATCTAGCTAGTTTAGCTCAGCCATTGTGAGCACAAAGTGGCGCATAATTGAGCGACTTAAGATCTGTATCAGTGGAAACGAAATGGCTGTTGGCCCGTATCTTTCATAATGTATAAGCGCAAAGAGATAGGTGGCTGATCTCACACGGCGGGCCCCATGGGATCACTTTCTTTTATACCCACGTTATTGTCCTGCAGCCAAATGCTATCATTCATTCATGCTCGCCGCCATGATGAATAAAGAATTTGGACAGGGACGAGCCCTCGGCGAGACGTCAGGCTGATTGAATATTACAAACGTAAACATACGAGCCTGACAATTTGCATTTCCATCGAATATAGCAAGAGCCAGCGAGAGCTGCGGTCATATTGTAATACGTGACGCAGTGCAGCCAACGTTCAAGATTGCATTAGAATTATCGACCTTGGATTTTATCAGAGAGCAATAGCGTCCTAACAGAACCTTATCAGCCGCATTACACTTTTACGTGGAAAATACTATAATTTTCCTCGAACACTCACTGGCCATGTGTCAGTTTCATAATGACGCGTGCGTACCTGAGCATAAATAATCATACGTTGCTGTTGGGTTATATTATTTTTTTCATTGCTCCGAGTCAGAGGAGCTAAGGAAACGTTCTCCATCCTAGTTTCGAGATGAAATTAATATTTCGTCTGTATACGGTTTTAGAGAGCTAGAGAGCTGTAACAATTTAAATAATATATGTAACATCTCATTCGCCCACGTGACCGACAAGTATGACAAGAGTACACCGCATGTTATAACGGGCTATAGAGTACGTATAGTCGCTATACAGAGGGAACCTATAGAATTCCTAGTGGGCCGTAGGCAGGTAAACGCATACACAGCCAGGACACGTTTGAGGACCAGTCAGCATTTGCATAGAGCGGAGGCCGAGTACACTCCAACGGTCCGTTGTCTCTTTGAATGCAACTCGTAAAGAGTTTTGTAGTAAATGGCGGTCAGAGGGGGGCAGGTTCAGGGGATAGACTGACATAAGAATGAATGAGAAAGAGAGAAATTCTATATGAGCCGCATTTACATTACACTAGTTCCATTTTGTCTACGCACGTTAGAGACGTTTTTTATTTGGATGCGCTGTAGTTGTGTCAAAATTCATATCGCTGTAACGAAGATATACCTAATCGTCTTGAAAGTCACCCTGGTATTTCGTTAGCGGGATAAAATGTCAAAGTCCTCTGAGTAAAATAGTTTCAAATAAACGAACGAATTTCTGTTGCAATCTTACAATTCCAGAGCTGAAAATTTTTCCAATATAGAAATAGAGGTAATCGCGAAACCCCATTTCCAATCGCAGGATACAACAATTACCACTGCGTGACAAGGTGCATTACGATTTATAGGTCTATTAGAAGTTTCCAAGAGTTAATACTCGCAAGTCTCGAGCAGGCCAAGAGTAGCCATAGAACGCGTATAAAGACTATTAGGGTGTAAAAAGAAGTTTAGGTTAGGTTAGCTTAGTCTGCGGGGGCAGATATAGGAAGCCAAGGGCGATTATTTCTCGTAGTTACTTCAGCCGTTGCACCCTGCTGCAGCGTTTTCTCTCATCCGACGCGTGCAATTACTTACACCACCGTTAAGCATCCTAGGATACCATGGACGCACGCCGTTCCCCAGCCCAACCCTCCTCCCGTTACCAGGAATAAGGGATGTTACGAGGTTAGTACTGGGGAGGTTGAACCAGAGACTCTGTGAAGATGCAGGAAGATGGGAGTGGGACTAGGTGGGTACAGGAACGAGGCGACGAAGCACGGCTTCCTGAGGCTCGATTATGTGATATAAAGTTGCCACTGGGGAAGTGGTAAGCAGCGAGAGGTATAGTATGGAGGGTAGGGAAGGTTGGAGGGATCGAAGGGATGCTGCTCTGCACCCCCGTTGATTGAGCCACCGCGCGAACACATGTGCTGGTGGCAACACTCTGATTGGAAGCCAGATGGGCTCTTCAGCCTCTTACAGACTCCTCGTCTTCTACGAGAAGCAACCACCCCTGGACCACCCTCGACGTATATAGAGCAATTCTAGTAGCTATATAGACCTTTCACCTTCCTCCCTGAAGACACCATCGGACCCATCGACCTTGTACCAAGAAACCGTGGAGACCCGACCGAAAGGGAATCCCTGGGATCACAGGGAATTAGAAGGAATGGACCACCGACGTAGATCGGAAACTCTGGGAAACTTGAGGAAATTCTGGATTCCAATTGTCTCTGGGGAGTAGGTGCTGGAGTAGGTATCAAGGAGGGTTCCTCTTTCTCTACCAGGAACCGGCAACTCGGGATAACCATCTTTCTTAGCTGGCTAATCCACGAGTCAATGTTTCTCGCGTTCTTTACTCTCAATTAATTATACAATCGTGATCTCTCCTGAATGATGCTTTCCCAAATGGTTCCATTTAATAGTTTTTACATTGCGTGTAGACGAGACAGACGCAATGCTGATGACTTGTACTTGCCAAGGCAGTAGAAAAGGCTGAGTATACGAGGAAGGTAACTTTGACATGGAAGAACGCTAACGAAGGGTGGACTCCCAGCAATTAGCCATTCCCACCTACTACAAAGCAGCTACTACCTTTCCGCCAAGTACATGCAGCAGTCAGATCCACAGTTAGAATACATTGAAAGATGATTCCTATGGAAGAAAACAAGACTTGTTAATTTATGTGATTTTTAAAGCAAGAATCCAAAAGCAAAAAAAAACTGCAGATTGCTAGTGGACATGGAAATACGATAGGGTGGCGGTAAAGATAAGAGGACGTAAGCGAGTTTGTTAGTATAAGCGACAGGAGTATAGAGATTGGTATGTATGGCAGCGCAGTGGGTGATGGTTGCCTACAGGGGATGAAGGTGAAAAGGGCTGGCAGCCTGGGGGCCGCTGCCAGCCACTGTGCGGGACATGGGGGACAGTTCCTAGTCCGTGGAAGCCGCCGGCATCGCGGTCCCTAGAGGTGGCAGCCTGGTGCAAGCTGAACCTGGCTGTGGTTGCTGGCTTGTTAGATCCAGTTTGGGGTTGGTACAGAAGGGCTACCGGAGCTGGCTACGAGGAGGGTACGGAGGGTTGGCACTCTTCAGTAGACCGCAATCGGGTATGCAATTTACGTGGTGTCCGACCTCTGCGACACCCTGTACTCCAACGAGAAGAGAGCGAATTCGCAGCCTCTCTTATCCACGTTTTATCTTCTCTCGGGGCAGCCAACCTTGACAGCTACACCAATTGAAGATGGGAGACTGGTTTCTTTTAAACATACGACAATTATATTTGTGGTTCTTTCAATTTTATAGCGTTATACGTAACTGTTTGTAAGTGGGTCGGTCTCAGAATTTGAAATTTATTTCAATATTCTGAACGATTACTGGTCACATGGATTCAGAAAAAAAAAAAAAAAAAAAAAAAAAAAAAAACATTCAATTTATCTACATTGTAATCGCCCGTACATACTTTTACCTAGAGACGATGATCCCCTCGTTAGAAATTCCCGGAAGAATTCACTTCTGGAATTTCAAATAGTCCACGAAACGCATTGGATATGTTATGAACGATTCGAGCTCGCTTTTCTAGTTCTCGCATAGACACCTCCCCGCGGGCGACGGAGCCAGGGTAGGACGCGGCCTGAAGGGGATGTAAGGGAGAAACGTAAAGAATTGGCGGATGTTCGAATCCGATGGCAAGAACTCGCGTGGGACGTGTTCCGGGCCGACCTGGATAGGAAACGCGATGTAGCCACTTTCCCCAGGATGAAATTTATGTATGGAAATTTCGCGCGAGCATTACGCATGTGGAATATCACGCCTAGCAACTGGAGGTGTCCTCGTGTGACGACACTTCCTAGAGAAATATATTTTACAGGGTGCGGTGAAGGTGGAGGCGAAGGTGGAGGCGAAGGTGGAGGCGGAGGTGGAGGCGCCAAACTCAAAATACATGTATGCGCTCTCCGAGAATCATCTCTCCTTCATTCTCTTTTTATTTTTCTATTTTTCATTTTTTTTATTACTTTCCTCTCCGCTTCTTTTATTTCTGTTTCCCTATCGAAGCCTCTCCGGCATCGACAGGGAGACACACCTATATGCATCATGTGGTATATGCATCCACACTACATATGTGACCACATATGTATATACGTATAGATTTGTGGGAGCCGCGCATTCCCACGCGGCAAAGCGCTCTCATGTTTTATGCACGCATGATGACAATTTTATGAGCCGAGAACAGATTGTAGCTGGCATTCAATACGATTCAACCTGGCAGCATTTTATGGCTTTTTTCCTTTTTGCAAAATTGCATGCAATTTTGAATCGTCCCCTGATCAAGATACGACGATTTTAAGGGAATATTTATACGCTGAAGTGCAGTAATATTTATTTATTGTATACACATACTTTATGTTACGGTTTCCTGATAAATTCCACTGGTTATACCATCGTATCGATTACATTTTAACAGTTTTATGTCAAAATTATATTTTTGATAGATTTTCCTACCTCGAACGACAGTCGTATACCCTCGGTAAGAACTTTGATACCGATAGCTATCGTTGGGCAGGACTTTGCCACAGCTTGATAAGTTTTTAGAATAGTATCGACCAAACTGCGCATCGCTTGCGTGGGATTCAAGCTTCGAATAGCCTGGTCCATTGCTTTGTGTATACCGGAGATTAGATCAGAACCGTGACCTATAGCAGCCGCGGTCGCGTTTCGGGCCTTCTCGAGGGCAGCGGCCAGTTCTGGTGAATTTGCAACGTCCGAGATGTTGGGCAGACGTGGAATGTTTGGAAGCAAGACGCTGGAAGGGTCCTTTATTGCAGGGATTTTCGGGATGAGATCGGACAGGCTCGGGAGTTTCGGAAGGCCTTGTTTAGATGTTGAGTTCGTTTGGCCATCTGTGGACTGAGAATTTTTTGTTGTCAGTTCGTTGGCTGCACTGGGTTATGAAGAATGGCTGACTTCGTCTTCTGCACTGGCTAAACTGTCGTTTGTCTGACCATATGGTAGGTCGGTTAGTCGAAGTGGAATTGTCCTCTGTCTGTTTATCGTTATTCGTGGAATTGGTCTTTCGGGTCAGTCGAGTTTTTCGTTAATGAGTTGCCAGCAATGTTGGAATCGTTGGATGATTTATCACTTACGTCGTTTCCGGTTGAATTTTTGGCCGATTTCAAGCCGGATAATTGTTCAATGATGTCAGACAAGTTGGATAGAAGAGGTTTGTTGATGCCAGGTATTTTTGGAAAAACTATTTCTCCCGCGGTTGACAGCTGTATAGAAATATCAAAAGTTACTCGAACTTGCAGGATACGTCGGTTGTTGTTTAATGACGTTACTTAGTCAGCCAGGAAGGAATAATGGCTCCTTACCGAATCCTTATCCAGACCCATGAAACCCCCGATGGAGGCACCCGCGGCAAGTGCCACGAGAAGAGCCTCAACAGACACTAGTGCCAACACTTGAGCGTTCATCTTGACGAATGCAGTTGCAGTTCTACCTCTCATTCGCTGCACGCCGCTCATTTTATACAGCGGAGTCTTGTTTCCACTTGTTTACAGGGAGCATCATTAATTAAACCGCTATGCAACTGTATAATTAAACTGTAGAAGCTTCCGTCATTTTATGAAATAAAATTTATAGGTATGCACTTCTGGAAAAGCGCATGGTCGCACAATTCCCATGTTGTCTGGAAAAACTTTAAAGAATCCAGTGAAACGTTGGTAATAGAATAACAATGGCAGATAATACTGCATATAGAACGCGTGGCAAGGCTTGATCCCCGAAACCACGTGAAAAGGGGTGAAGGAGTCGAAAGGGTAAAAGTTCGTAGGGTGGTCCAGGGCTCGAAAATAGTCCGGAGCAGCATTCCCGATGCTCCTGGGTAAAAGTTCTAAGATAGGTAGGTAACGGTAAGAATATTCTTAGCTCCCATTCCTTTGGTTTCCCTTCCATCCCCCTCGGTTCCTCCCATCCAACATCCGGCGTTCTCCTTCACCCTTCACCTTTCACCTCCGTATGAGAATTTTGTGCGCAGCCGAGAGTAGTTTCATCGTTCGCGACTCCGTAAGCAGCCTGGGGCTTTACGGGATTTCGAGACGGGACGACCGAAACCTCTTCTCCGAGGCTTCCCATTCTATCGACGGAACTCTCAACTATTCCTCAGATCTTCCTCGCGGATGCAAAACCTTTCGGCGCGTACCGAGTCATCCACCCTTTGGAATTCTGCCAATTCGACAGAGCGCACCGCCCCCCTATTCATCCACCTTCTACATCGGTTGTCCCTTCGGTGCGTTCATTAGTCCTCTGTGCCAATAAACTTCTCAATATAATATTTCTAATTCCTATCCAAGTCCAGGCCTTTCCACGTTCCCGTCACGTTCCCCTCACGTTCCCGTCCTACGTGACTGTGCGCTTCCGTATTCGTCGAGTCATCCCTGAAACGTCACTGTGACCTAGGATTTCATTAAAGGGTGAAGATGGCTGGTCGTGCCGAGGGTAGTACCAGAAGCCCAGCCGTCCCTGCATCATTAAGTGTGCACCAATGGTGGCAAGTGATTTTAATGGCAACGTCGTTTTCAGCAGGCACATCATCCATTACAGGTTTAATGAATATTCCACAAGATAGAATATATATGTATATACATGGAGATACTTTTATACCTTCAATATAAATTCCAGCACTAGGGTTCGTGCAGTTATTACTTGTATGTACGTATGTAAGACTATTCTGAAGTGCATAACAGATCGATATCCCATGTACACGAGGTAAGTAGACGGGTAGTCCTTTTATCGAGTCCTTGAGAAATGTGGAATCTGGAATCGAAGTAAGTCCGGCTTAATTAACTCGACTCGAGTTCCACTTTCGAAGACGGAAATCGCGATCCGGAGACACGATAGATATTCGAACGGGACGTGATTGGCTTGCGCAATCCTTAGGGTCCGTGGCGGTCGGGTCTCTTGACGTTGGCGTATCGAAGCCACGAATTTATGGGACGTTTAATTATCACCGTGCCATCCTGAATATCGAATTCCTGATATCTGGAACCGTGAGATTTACGGCACCGCCATTCCCCGTGATATTCTCGACTCTGCGAAAGTAAATACTTTCTCCACTGAAAAGAGCGCACTAAAAAGTCCCTCTACAGTTGTATGATCCAAGGCCCTCCTGAAAAAGACTAACCGTACTAACCGTTGCGCGAATTTTGGTCTTACAAGTGCCGGTTCAATTATGCAACCTGTCGTCCCATGAAAGAACTGTATTTCATCAATCCGCAATATGCGAAATCCTTCAGCTGGTTCTCATAGATCCGTCATGAAGGTCGTCAATAATACGACGTCGCAGACGTTTCGCATAAGGTCAAGCATGCAAGAAAGGGTTTGATAGTAAGAAAAGAGGGCGCCACTCTTGATTTATGGGGCCTTATATAGCAATTGGGGTCATCGATCATGGTACAGACGTCTTTAAATGCACGAATGGTTCAAGAAGAAGCGAGGAAGCCAGGAGCAGAAGGGACAGCCAGGACGAAGGAGATAAGGGAAGGGGAGGCAGGGGGACGCCCGAAGGGATTTCAAGTGGGAGAGTGGAAATCCGACGCCGAAGCGTCCCGATGCTTATCCCTCTCCAGCAGCACAACAGCACAACAGCACAAGGCACACACCGCGCCCCAATAGATTCTACCTTACGCGTGCACGAGTGGCAGAAATTAATTTCGCGCAATTTGCATGGTCGGAAGGAAGGGAAGAGCTTTTCGACTAGGATTCTAGTATAACAGTAGATATGGGTGGGAGCAGTCGGTAGTGGGGAAAGGAAATAAGGGTGTGTCTGGTTGCGTGTCGTCATACCATCCCCTTTCGCAGTAATCCCTTTGTTTAGGTGTCAACGTTTGTCATCGACTGGCGCACGTAGCTAACCCCACTAACCCCATCGTCTCCTGGCGCAGCTCAGAGATTCTCCAATATTGGACACAGATGCAACAACCGAGATTACCAAGGGTTCGATAATACTCGCAGTAGACGGTACAGAGCAATAAGGCGGTAGTTGTGTAGGAGGCACACGGAAAAATAGGGACTCAAGTTGAAAAGTCCTGAAACCCAGCAGTGCGCGCCATGAAAATTCATTCATCCGCCACGTCTCAACTCAGTGTCCAACAGACTATACGTGCCAAGAGATCAGGCACTTCTATACGTTTTCCTGAAAAATAAAAAAAAAAAACCATAATTCATCTCCCTGATGACACCCGTACGCTTTTCCCCTACTTTCTACGTCTCTCTCCCAGAGGATCCTGGGGACCTCATGAATTTCCCATGAAGCATCCGGTTGCGCCACGTAACACGCACTAGTTGCATGCGCGCGCGCGCACCTGTTTACCTATCAAACAGACTTTATAACGAGATGAGCGCGTGTTCTTTGTTGACGTAAAATATTGAACGATCCTAAGTCCCGTATTGTGTTCGACAAGAGAGAGGCTAGTTTGCCCAGCTGAATGGCCGAGCGACGTCGGTATGGAGGACAGTCGGAGGGAGAGTGAAAGAAACAGTGCGCGAGAGAGATGAATAAACGGAGGATAGTCACATGGGAGATCTGACGATGATCTGGACCATCCGATCCCTCGATTTTGCTTCCCGCCACTAAATAAACCCATTGAACGAAGCCTCCCGTGCTTCTGACACCAATTCACGGAATATCAAGTTAATGGTGCGACTTCACGGGAAATTCATATGTACAGGGAGTATATCTATATGTATAGATGAACACGCACGTAGCCAATTTATTTTCAGTGGCAGTTTCACTCTTGACACTTCATAACCTGACCCAACAAACTATGACATGTCGACAATTACAACATCGCAACAAGAACCCATTGACATTGACACCATGCAATTTTTCTTGGCCCACCGTGATAACGAGTATCTATGTCTAACCTTATTTGACAGAAATGAAAAACCCTCACGAAATTAGATCATCCCAGCAGCGTTCGACATTAAAGAGCTAAGAGGTGGTACTTGAGGAGATTAATACGCAGGTCAGGAGTTCAAACGAAGAGGTTACACAGACGGGATGGCACATCCCGCGAGAGGAAATGCAAACTAATCGTGATGGCGCACTAGTCCTATCGAACCCTCCGTCCCGACGCTACCAAACAGTGGCCGCGTAATGGGATAGCTCCGACCACAATACATCCTTCAGCGAAGCGGAAGAGAAACAAGGGAACGGCATTACCCGGGAAACACGCCGGCAATTCCAAATCGGCCAAGAGCCACTACTAGCCGGCACTGCCAGTAGCGGCGGCAGCACTGGAAGCGATGGTACCGGTATCATTGGTACCAATACCAACCATTATCGGTATGATCATCATTACCATCATCGGTCAGAGAATCGAAATAGATATATATGCACACGCTGTACATATGTTATACGTGTTGCACACAAGTATAAAGATGGACGGCCAAAGCTCCCTTGCGTGAAGCAGCAGAGCGTCCAGCTTAGTCCATGTGGTCCATGTGGTCCATGTGGTCCATGTACAGTGCGCGTGGTCCTCGTGTGTTTCTACAGTGGCAAACGGGAGACGCATTCAGGGTTTAGGCGTGTGATCCCTGATGAAGAGACCATCCACAGGGACACTAACCACCTCGCGGATCTATACCGTTAGGTTGGTACCTGGTGCTATACCGTACTACGGTGCTCCGTTAGACGGCTTACGAGGCAGTTACCAGGCCGTTACCATGTCGATGGTGCCACTTGTCTCGAGTGCCGAAGCCGGCGGACTTGGCGGCCGAAAGGACACGAACGCACTATCGTTATCAGTAGTGGTGTTGGGACTATCGGTACTAGTGGTGATCACAGTGGACTCTGGTCCAGCAGTTACGATCGATGCATCATTCGCTTGGTTGGACTTATATGGGTATTAAAGTTTCGAGAATGTAGATGCTCTTTGGCGTAATGGGCCATTTTGCGGCCTAGGACCACTGGGTATTGAGATCAGACTGTAGAAGACGTGCAGAAGACACTTCGAGAGCTCAGTCGGATGCTGCGCGGAGGAGATAAAACAGAGCAGGTTTAATTGCAGCCCACGTGCTTTCAGACTCTTTACCTTCAGATCCTCTTGAATCAAGTGATTATGTCGGTCTAGCCTTCGTCTAGACCAGGTATCGATCGTATTGTCATATTTGTCTGAAGAATTTTGGAAATTTTCAGTTTCCCTTCTGCTTTCCCGTGCTGCTATTTCTGCGTTGACGCGTTAAGGTTTATTGTGCTTCTGTTTATTCCACGACGTGATTCAGCGTTTGTAGCGTCAACGAATATCCCTCGAGTCACCCTTCTGGCGATGGTTAATTAATAACCCCAGCTACTGATTAATGTTTCGCTAATTAGGGGCTCCTCTTAATTACGCAGTCGACTCAGATTAATGACCGTTTAAAGTGCGTTACTTTTTAAAATCTCCGAGTCGTTACTCCCTCCAGCCTCGGGGCGCTTTTCAAACTCGGATCTCAACCCTCGACACCCGTGCGACC